AATTACAAAGTGTCAACAGAAGCTTTCATGCAAGACTCTTTCAAGTCAAAAAAATGCTAATGCTTTATCAGAAGAATGTAGACTATGTAGAAAATGTTAAATACTATAAGCAGCTGCACTACAACTATATATGCATAATTTTTTTACATCACAAAAATAGGAGGTTTAGTCAAACCCCCTCAAACCCCCTGTGCATATGCATGACAATTTAGTGTGAATTCTTCTTGAACTGATGTGGGTGAAAATAATATCACTCACATTGATCAAATTGCCAACAATTCTTAAAGTCCTTTATCTGTAGAAGATGTGACAGCCATTGTCCAATATGTGGTGGGGTTCATGAAGCTACTGTGACCCTTTACTTCTGATTCTACCGCACAATTCTCGTTCCATGTCTTTGATTCTGATGCTGAGGAGGATAATTTTGAATGGCTTTTTCCACTGTCAGGCTTTGCTTTGGGTATCTCTATGCCTTCTAAAGAACAATTCCAATCTTCTCTCTTACATAATGCTTCCTCTCACAGGCAGCTTCAGCCCCTGAATCAAGAGAATCAAGGACCCCACCAAAGACATTTTGTTAGAAAAAAGGGAGCAAAACAAAGGTTTGGGAGGGAAGAAGGAAGGTAATCAGACTTAGGAAATAAGGATATCCCTTACCAAGAGGTTTAAACAAAAAAGGAACCAAGTGAGAAGAGAAAAGGCAGAAGAAATTGAAGAGAAGACGAGTGCTCTAGTCCCTGGAAAATTTGTCAGAGGAATAGTGAAATACTTTCACCATAAGATGAAAAAAGGAGAGGTATCTGAGGAGGTCAGTAAGGAAGGCTCAAAGTCATGAAAATTGGGTACTAGATAGAAAGACAGCTGACAAAGAATGTGCCCCTAAACTGGCAAAAGAGTCTCCAAGTATTGGGTGTCAAGGAAAGAAAAGGGAGAGTCACTATATGCAAGGAGATAGGAATCAGTCTGGTGGGAGGAAGGGGGATGAAGATCATCAAGAAATGAGTTCCCATGTACAGAACTATTAGGGAGAGGGGAAACAAAGAAATCATTTCAATCTTCACTTTCCTCTTTAGTCTCACATTTGTCCCAGTCACACTTTTCCACACCTGTCCCTCACCCTAATCCTTCATTCTCTTCCCCATTCTGTCCCAGTATCCCAACTCTCCACCTCCTCCCATCCTTTTTCACAATGACATCTCACCCATCGACCTGTCTGTCAGTAACTATCTGGTTGGTTTGGGACCTGTGGGAGCCTTTCTGTCACAGTTTGCACATTTGTAGACATATTTTGCTGCTGACAGATGGGCCATTCATGTCCTTACCCATGGTCTCTTCCTTTATTGTGCAGGCCTTTGCTACACTGCATGGTTTGGGATTATGGTTCTATTTCTACATGGCTGACTGGCTTCTCTTATCCTTCTCCCAGGAAGAATTCTCAGATCATATTTCACTACTTCTTTCCCTCTTTGTACATCATTTGATCATGGTCTCCTCAGAAAACTCCATGATCATGTCACACATCAACTGTTAAGGGGGCACTCATTTCAGAACCCTTTTCTTCCAGACTTTGGGCCTTGTTTATTGGGCCCATTGCTAGTGAGTAAGCTTAATTGCCTGCTATGTTCTTGGTGCTCTGAACATAGTAACAGACCATCTTTTTTTGATGGGACTCTGTTCTACCCATGGAATGGTCCCTTCACCTTCATATCTTCTGTTGGATGAGATCCCAACTTGTTATTCCTCTAATAGATGCATTTGCCTCTCATCTTAATGCCAAATTTCCTCTTTTCTGGTCTTATGTTCGTTATTCATCAGCCCTGGCTATAGATGCTCTCTGTTAGGACTTATCTTTTTCTCTATACCTATCCTCTTCCTCCACCTTCTCCCCCATGTTTTTGCTCTGGTTCAAGGGACACCCTATGTAGGGCACTGTTGATGGCTCCCTACTGGCCCATTCAGCCTTCTTTTTCAATACTACATATTTTTTCAACCAAGTTTCACAGAATGATGGGATGTGTGTGGGATTTGTCTGGTCCATTGGATTTCCAAGTGCATAGCCTTCCTTCTCTTCCACTCTTGTTGATCTTCTACCTCTTCTATGTACCAAAAAAATGGTGAGCTTATTGCTGTTTATTTCTTCTTCTTCTTCATTTCCCACTAGGCCAACCTACCTTACAATTCCTCACCTCTTTCTTCACTTGGATTTTCAACCATGGCTTGTCTGTCTCTGCTGTTGGGGGGTATTGAGTGACTCTATCCACCACATTCTGCCTTTCCAGATACCACAATTTTTTCTCTTCACCTGTCCTCACCACTTTCTTCTATTCCTTCTTACTGCACAGACTCTCTCTTCTCACTCCTTTACCTGACTTAGACTTGAATGTCATTCTTTAGATCCTCACTCAAGACAGTTTTGAAACTCCTGGCACTTGCTCTCTATATTACTTCTCTCTCAAAACCTATTTCTTTCTTCTTCTTGCTTGTGATCATTGTTAATCTGACATCTATGCCATAGACTCCTTCCAGTCTCTTTTCCACTAGTTATACTTTTTCTTTACCCCAACTGTTCCTTTCTACCTAAGACTTCTGTTGCTAGGGAAGATGGTCATACATTTTTTCTCATTTCCCTTCCCTCTATATCCCATCTTTATAGGCATTCTGACCCAGATAGACTATTGTGTCCAGTCCAGGCTGTTTATTGTGATCTATTATGTAGTTCTTACTTTTGGAATTCCCATCACCATCTTTCCATTCTTTAGGATCCCTCCTCTGCTAGAGACCTTTCTCCCTCCACCCTTTCTGGATGGATCTTTCTGCTCAGCTGGATGATATATTCCTCCTTGGAATGGATAGTCTTTGGCTTTTTCACCTCTCCTCCCACTAGATAAGACACCTGACTCCTTTTATGGCAGTGCATTTTCATTAACCACTAGTGACTAAGAGTTAAGGAAATGTGCACAGATACTTATCACAAGTGCTCTTCTCCCACTGTTGGTTTTGACTCATTGATTCTGAAGGTAGAGGAGGTGAGCACACAAGGGATGGTCTGAATGAGCCCCAGCCTCATCAAACGTATTGGTCATCCAATGACTTGTTTGTAAGTACTTGGATGGTCATGTATCTATTTTGCTCATTCTTGCGACTCATTTTGGGCCTTTAGATTTTTCTTTTCTTATACATGGGTGAATAGTATACCCTGGATGAGATGAGATGCAGTCTCCCATGAGTGTGCCCCTGTGGAGTCTTTGCCATTTGGAGTTGGGAGTTTTCACATGGTGGGGACATGCAAGTTTTTCAGGCAGAAATGCATGACTTCAAGAGAAAAATAGCTATGTGTATGGCGGTATCTATTGGAAATGCATTTTCAGGTAAGGAAAATGTTAATATTCCCCCTTCAGTTATATACTATAAGCATATTATAGAACTGATGAGATCACAGGAGATTGGGTGAATTAGCCTCATTTATTTGAGGGCTCTTAATACTTTGAGATCCATGGAACCAAGAAAACGAATTAATCTTAAAACTTGATTGGTCATAAAGGTAATCAAAATGTAGCAAATATTTTTTATAATAAGTACTATCCTTTTTTTCACTTTGAAGGCTGGAAAAAATCAAAAAGTGTGCCTTTTCTTTTCAACATATTTGTTATCATCCAAATAATGCACAGCACACTTCAGAATTTAATAAGTACTAAATTTGGTCTGACATTGGAAGTGTTTTAAATACCTTTTGGTGCATTTGCTTTTGTTTCTGATGCATTAAAAGTTATTTTAAAAGGAAATTTGTTTTTAACTTCATTTGTAGCTGGTACTTACACTGATAATATACAGATAAATGTACTGGTATATTTTTAGACTATTAAACTGTGTAGTGTTTTGTATCATTATTTGCTGATTGTTCATCTAATGTATGCCATCTTTCTAGAATTTTGAACTTTGTTTAAAGCTTTGTGGTAGTTTTTAATAAATATATTTGTGTATGCAATTTTTAAATAAAATGTATACATATATATTTATGCATTATAATAAAAGTTTATTAAGTCTAAGCCATAATGGACTTAAATATTAACTATGTTTTATGATATTTCTTGATGTAATTGATTTATTAAAGATGTAATGAATGTCATTCTGCATTATTAGAAACAGTTTTTTCAATTTCATTTTTAACAATGGAAATATATTTTTAATATAATGTTTATACAGTGTTACTACTATATCTAGAAATAGTTGTTCAGTATTTCCCATCCAAATGTGGATCATGTTGTACAAATAAAAGCCAGTTCATTGTTTCTCCAAGCCTCTTATTGTAGAAATATTGTATTAAAACTGTTGTTTTTAAGTTAGTCAAATTTCTGTTTTATTAAGATAATTGTGAGGATATGTGATCAGTATAACACATCTGAGTTTTACAATATGTTGTTCAAATTTAAAGCTACCACCATAGAATGCAGAAAAATTATAATTTTTTTTTGTATAAGGTAAAAACAAGGATTTGTTGTGTGGTCTGTTGTCTTCTGTGTTTGAATATTCTATATCTTGTAATGAACTTTCAACTGTTCTAAAACATTAAGATATCAGTGTAGAAAACATGCATTTGTGATAGAAACAAGGGCTGATTAATCTGATGGTGATACAGTTATCATTGTATTACAGAAACAGTGGCTGTTGAGATCTTTTATCTAGAATCATGTAGAATTTAAAAAACAACTAGTTACTGGAATGATGTTCTCTCCAGCAGTGCCCATTTTTGCCTGATGAATTATTTTAATGTCTTCTTTATAGAAAAGCTGTGATATAAAAAAATAGTGCATGTATTTGTAGCTTAAAGTTCTCGTGCTAATGTATAATCCTGTATAGTATCTCTACATTGATACTTGTTTGAAATGCCATAATATTGTTTTCTTACATACAAACCTTTTTTTGTGAAAATAATGTAAGAAAAGTTTCAATTTTGTAAGAGATTAGAGAGATGACCTCTCAGTGCATTTGAATTATGTTAGTGATCCACGAGGCTGTCAGTACTGGGGATCCAGAACTCCTGCAAGCAGTCTTGGAGCAGCGAGACTTTCAGCGATATAGCAGCCGTATTGGAGGGATTCCAGAGCTCTTGAAGAAGATAAGAGATGTAAGGCCTGAACCTTTTGAACAAGTTGTTTTTCAATAGTTTATGTGTATAGGATATGTGTGTGTGTGTATGTATGTATTGAAGCCAAAACATTTGCAATGAGATTTTAAGAAATATTCTAATACAATTCATTATCTCTTCTCACATGTCAGCTTATTCTGATTTTGTGCTGCTTTCTATATGTGCAATTTTTTGCTTGCTGCTAGCTTAGAGACTCCCACCTGAACTCATGTTTCCATGTGTTACTGATATGGTGTAGCATGCAAATGAACATGTGACAACCTGTCGCAAATAGGAGTTTGACACACTCTCCTAGCACAGTCGACTCCCTCTATCCTGATTGTTCAGTCGTCATTTCTTTGTTTGGCACTTGCTTCTTTAGATGTGTTTATGTTTTTTGCTTGTACTAGTAGTTTAGGTTTTTTCATTTCAATTTCTGACAACATTTTTTTGTTGTCTTTGCCTAGTTTGTGGAGGATTATCTTGATCACTTTCCCTTCCTCTCCACATTATGAACTCACAGGTTCATGTTACTACTGCTTCATCAAGTATTGATCAACAAGATTTTATTCATACTAGTTATTTTATTCATTCAGTTTTTCTGCACCTTCTCAATTCACTGCCCTTGATCTTCCTTGACCTTCCTCATTCTTTTAGGGTATGGTTTCTCAGATTTGTTACCTTTTGTTCCTTTCTCCTGTGATTTATGATTCTTTACCTTCCATTCTGCATTCTGGCCTTGCTGCTGATTATTTTGTTATCCCTCTTTCTCCTCTGGTTTCTCAGATTTGTTACATTTTGTTCCTTTCTCCTGTGTTTTATGATTCTTCCTCTTCCCTTCTGCATTCTGGCCTTGCTGCTGATTATTTTGTTATCCCTCTTTCTCCTCTGGTTTCTCAGATTTGTTACATTTTGTTCCTTTCTCCTGTGTTTTATGATTCTTCCCCTTCCCTTCTGCATTCTGGCCTTGCTGCTGATTATTTTGTTATCCCTCTTTCTCCTGACATTCAGGTCCAAGCTGATCCATTTCTCTTTCACCTTACTACTGGAGCCAGCATTGCCTTGCCCTCCTTGCTTGGCAGACACACATGCTTTGGCCTATCAGTGGGCTGAGTTTACCTTTCTTGACTCCTAGAATTTGGCGATCTTCTCTTTGCCTTTCCCCAGCTCATTTTTCATGTTTTTATCTCATGCTTACCACTCTTTTGTGCTATCTCTCCTTTATTCAACCTCTTTCTGAGGCTATCCTCTATTCACCTGTGGGATGTTTGGTGGATACTCGTTCTCTTATATTTTCTACGTTGGTGTATTTATCTTCTTCTGCTTTATCTCCCATACATGGTTGCTTTGTTGTTGGGACTCATTAGGCAGGGATGACCTACTTTCTCAAGTGCATTTGCCAGACTCTTATCTTCAAGACCTTTACCTGGCTCCTTTCCTGCAGGTGTTGTCAGAGGGCCTGACTATTTGTTTTCCTCCCCTACTCCATTGTTTTCCATTCCCATTTCTTCTCCTTCTCCTCAGGATCCAGTTTGTTTCCAGTGTTTGTACGAAGTAGTGGTGGATCTCTCATCAAAAGATGCTATCGAATGGGTTTTTCTCCTTTCTCCAAGTTTTTATTCCCACCTGGTATTCAGTTATAGATCTTTCGAGCTTTGGTTTGTTCACTGAGGTCAAGTGTTTCAATTCCTCATTCTCCCTTTCAATATAGCTTTGGCCTCATATGTATTTTGTAAGGTAGTCACATTCATAGCCTGGGACTGTAGTTTAACCATTAAATGGACGACTGGTTTCTTTTGGCACAATTTCAAGAAGTTTCCTATGACCATACATTCTCCTCCTTCAAGAGTCAGCACGTCTGGGTTGATTGGTCAAACTGGAGAAGTGGCATTTCACATCCATTCAGTATCTCATTAATTTGGTGTGTTTTTTAATTCCCATTTTGCAGGACCCAATTTTCTCTGCATTTGAGGGGCATGGAGTGATTAGTTTCCAATATCTCTCCTACTCTCATTGCACCGGTGATTCTCTCTCTTTTGGGATTTTGGGGTTCCATGGAATCTCTTATCCCTTTGGGTTTTGCTCATATGTGTTGTCTTCATTGTACTCTGCATGATCAGTGGAACCTTGTTCAGGATCCTTTATCCTCCACCATTCCTCCCTTCTTCCTTGCTCATCATCTTCTTTTGGTAGCTCGACCAAGCCATTACCACAGAAAGTGTTTCTCTTCCTCCATCTGTTTATAGATACATCCTTGATAGGGTGGGGCATATTTGGACTCTTGAGATTTCGGGTCAGTGGTCCCATGACAAATAATCCCATCATATCAATCTCTTGGAAATTTTAGTGGTATGTCAAACTTTTTATCATTTTATTATGATGGTTTGTGAACGTCTAGTAATAATCCATACAGACAACTGTACAGTTGTCTCTTATATTAATTGCCAGGTAGGCAGTCAGTTTTGCTCTCTCTATTTCCACACTCTCAATCTCCTTTTCTGGGCCAATTCTTTAGAAGTGTCTTGTTACTTGTCATATTCTGGGTGCTCTGAACCTTTCGTGGATTATCTCTCGAGACCCAACAAGATACTACCTATTATGGTGTTCCAGAGGCTGTGCTCTTGGCTGGGCACATTCTCTTCTGAATGCTTTTGCCATTAATCTCAACACCAAACTTCCCCATTTCTGATCCTCTGTTCCTCCTCCTGCAACTCTAGATGTGGATACAACCTTTTTCTTCATGTCTACCCTCCTATTCATCTCCTCCCCTGGGTTCTTTCCGTCATTCAGACCACAATGTCAAATCCTCCTAATTCCTTTGAACTGGCCAGCTCAGCCATGGTTTCCTCTATTGACCTTCTCTAGTCCTATCTTCTTCACCCTATGTCATGCACCTTACTCCTTCAACCTTGTTCTTCTTTATCATATCTGGTGGTATTGGCATTTTGTCTTCATTGCATGGGTTTTGTCCAGTCCATGTAAGACATTCCAGACTATCTTCATGTGTATCCTTCCTTCTTTCTCATTCTGTTTGTTCTACTTTCCTCCATGTCTATCATAGGAAATGGTGCATATTCTGTAGTTGGTCTCTGCATTTTGCTTTCTCCCCTTCCCATCTTTCTGTTCTCCATTTTTTTAACTTTTTACATGGCTGTTTGACCAAGGCTTAGCACTTTTGACCATTTCTGGCTACAAGGCAGCACTATCTAATATTTTCAGGCTTTCCTGTTCTCGTCATGTCTTCTCTTCACTTGGCCTTTTTATACTCTTTGATTATTTTGCCTTCTTTATCCTCCACATCCTGCTGTCCTTCCAGATTTGGGCCTGAACATTGTTCTTTATACCCTAACCCTTCTTTCTCCTTAGCCTCTTGTTTGTTGTACCATCTTTTGCTTAAAACTTATTTCATACTTTTTTTTTTGTCTGTACCCTCAGGAGATCTGATATATCTGCTATTGGTGTTTCTATGTTTTTTTTCATCGTTTATATATTATTCTTTATCCTGATTGTGCTTTTCTTCCTAAAACATCAGTTGCTCTATTCGGGGGTGGGTAAATCAAGGATGGAAAAACTAAAATCTCTTGTTTTGTTAGAAAATAGGTAACTATACTCTGCTCTCCACAAATACAATATCTAAATCCAATTAATGTGCATTATTATAACTCTTATATACATACACACACATTAGTATTACTTCTATGTAAGTATTACTTCTACGTATCCAAAGTTCCTTTGGATACATTTCATTTGGATTAAAATGTAGAGATTTAATCATTAATGTAACAAAAGGTGTAACTGTACAAGTTATGAGTTATTTCTTGTCTCATAAATAAAGTCTCATAGAAGTACAGATATAGATTTGTAGAAAAATTGACTCCCCTCAGAATACTCACTATTTGTTTTAATACTTATTCAGTAAAGATAATGTAACTATTATATATATATATACAGTAATTAAATATATATATTTACATTGATACTTAGTAAATTTGAATTTAGGAATAATTTTTATAGTATCTATAACTTGATCAATGAAATCATGAAAAAATATTGTTAAATCTTTCAAATCAATTTTGGTATTAAATGTCATGAAATCATCAGTAGTGACAGAATTAGCTGCTTTGTAAAGAATTTAAGTTAGCTAAACATTCAAAGACTAGAATATTATTTTTAATTATCTAAAAATCATGATACAAATAATTTAAGGCTTGGCATTGGCAGGTGGTTAGGTCTCAACTCGCACTGTGAGGTTTGAATCCCCATCCTACCAAACATGCTTGTTGCCATTTCAGCCATGGGGGCATTATAATGTGACGATCAATCCTACTATTCATTAATAAAAGAGTAGCCAAAGAGTTGACGGTGGGTGGTGTTGACTAGCTGCCTTCCCTCTAGTCTTATACTATTAAATTAGGGATGACTTGTGCAGATAGCCCTTGTGTAGCTATGCGCAAAATTCAAAACAACCAGACAAATCATTTAATGACAGTAATTTTATATTTTCAAATAAAACATCTCAAATTTTGTTAAGGAAAATAGATTCCAATTTTTTAACAGTATTTAAATAGTTTGTAATAAACCTAAACTTTACAGGTGTTTTATACAATTTTGGAATTGCATACAAAAATGGGAAACTAAAACAAGTAGAATCTATATTTATATTCCATTTTTTATTGGCATTCTTCAAATTAATGATAACTGTGCCTTTATTTAATGTACTTTTTTGTAAATATTTTAGTTGTAGTAATTTCATTAATTAAAATTTGTGTATATAATTTTTTTATATATAAAACCAAATTTACAGTCTGCTTTATCAATAGGGGTAATAATAAATTGTTCTTGAATTTCTTGAATTTTATTTTCAAATATATTAAATAAAATATCTATTTTTTTATTTAGATGAATTTATATTCTTTAACTGTTTTTTTATTGAATTAATGATGAATAATTTCCATTGATAAAAGAAACATGGAGGATAATGAGATTTTTTGCTAATTTTG